CGCAGACACCGGCGCCTCCACACGCAGCCAGCTGGTGGCTTTCTGCAGGCGGGCCTTCCCCCGGGGCCTCCTGGCTTCGCGACCTGTGCACGTCGTGTTACTGTCTATAACCGTGGGTTTTGCGTGGGTTTGTTGTTTGCCCGTCTGCCCTTTATACTTCTCCCACGCGAGCACTCAACAGGGCACAGCTGCCCGGGAGCAGACCGGCCACCCCCACCAACCAGTTTGGGGCATCGCTTTTCTTGCTTTAAACTTGAGCGCCTGTTATTTGTTTACAGATTTTAAAAATCGACTGGATGTTGCAAGGATTGCTTACATTTTGTCCGTTGTCTTAATTACTAATCATTTGATCCATCAGCAGATATAAATGTAAAAATTTAAAGTGGGAGGCTACCCACAAATTGATGTTGACAGTTGTATTAAGAAGCTTAATACCAATCCTGCTTTGAAACAGTGATGACTTCAATGGTGAATGCATAAATGGTACTTTTTTTTTCCACCCTAAAGGAAAGATGTTTTTAACATACAAGTTGTTTCGTGTAATAGGTATTCCGAAATGTAAGGTTGCAAAATGGCTGGCCCGATGTGCTCATTTTTAGGATAAGCTCCTTTTGGATTTTAAGTTTGCCTATTATTATATCAAAGCTTTCATATCAGAATGGTAAATAAGTTATACTTAGTGAAGCAGGGGAGATACTTTGGGAATCGATTCTCTTTTCCACTTTTACTCTGCCCTGCACCCCATTCTTCTGAGAGAATGACTCCACCAAGCTGAAAACTTGCAAATGCAAAAGGGAAATAATAGTTTGAAGGTGCAGATTTTCTTTTTAGCTCCTTGGCATATGTAATGCACAAATACCTAACAGTTTGGCAGTATGGTTTTTACTTCATCTCATTTGATGTGAGCCTAATGAACTATTAGTGCTCCATTTGCTTTTTCCTAAAAGTCCCCCCCCCCCCCCATTAGGCTGATCAGGCTTGATGTGTTTTCATCACATCTTCCTCCTAGGTATTCAGGGAATTACTAAATTCTGCCCACTGATATTTCAAACTATAAAAATCTTTTAAAGTAGTCAAACTTACTACCATTATATATTGTGAACAAAATAAGATTTTGGTAAAACCACGTGACATTACAGTTGTAAATATTCCCATTGTAAGATTTGTTATTGTATTCATTGTTTTATGACATATATATATATATATATAATAAAGCCAATACATGAACTTAATTTTTCTAAATACTGTAAATGAACTGCATTGAAATGTAAACATACTATATTTAGAAGAATTGCTTGTATTTAACCATGTTGGATTCTGCAAATACTACTTTTAAGAAAGCAAATGTGGTTGTAAGGGCAGCTGAACCAAATGACATATGTATTGAGAAAAAATTATCAAATGTAAACTGCAGAGGAGCACAGCCGTGAGAGTTATTTTTATTGCCCAGGATATAAATTATGAATATTTCTTCCTGGAATTGATATTTGAATATATATTGTTGCCAAAAAGATCTTGTACCCTCCCTCCCTCCAAATTTTGGTTTATCAGCAAAAGGGTAAGAAAGCTGAGAGAATCAAAGGGTAATTTAATAATTGGCTTAAAATAATTTGAGGAGCACAGCATTTATTGTTCTTATTGCTTGAGATGGGAGGGAAGAGGGAGTGAATTAACATTTTTTCCATGTAATATACTGGGCATTATTTGTAGGCATTTAGCATACATATATTATGCTTATATCATAGCCCTGTGTTACCCTATGGGAATTACTTCCATTTTACTGATGATGGAATAACTGAAGTATAGATAGTTAAGTACTCTGCCCAAGGTCTTAAAGTGTTCAAGGCGGGATCTGAATCTAGACATGCCTAATTATAAAGCTCATACTCTTTTATTTATAAAATTTTATGTAAATATGTAATTAAATATTCAGATTCTTATAATGAATACATATACATTGAATGAATACAGAATCTTATAATGAATATTATAATTCATTACAACAGTGATCTAACTGGAGATCATAGACCACATTACTAAAATAGTGAAAATGAGCTGAAGTAATGAATGAGTAAATTAGTTAAACCAGACAGGACTTAATTATCCATATACATTTTAGAAAAGGAAAGAAAAGATCTACCTGGATGAGATGTAATTGGTAACAAATATATAAAGCTGGTTTCTAAAATGCATGCAGCAAGCATTTGTGGATGAAACACTCAGTAATGACCTTAATACAAATAAGGGAGAAAAAAATCCATCAAGTTTGGAAGTTAAGAGGAATGACAAAGATCCATTAAATAACTAAACTGAAAAATACACTTAGTAAGACCCCTGACAAGGTACACTAAAATCTTTATAATAGAGATAAACAAATAGACAAAAAAAATAGAGATGTCCCAGATAAGGAGAATAAGACTACCAACAAGGTGTGGGAGATTAATTTTATACTAAAAACTAAAGCAAAAAACATGTGAGTTGCATTTTTATAATTGGCTTTGAAGTACTCTGAACCCTTTAGTAAAATAATTATCAGTGGAGCCCCTTAAACCTCAGGTGCAGAAGTTACTGCCATAGATGAAAAGGTTGATCCCAGAAGGGCCAAGATTCCATTGCTTTTTGTCTTTACTAAAGAAAGAATTAGGGAGGAAAATATTTCAGTAAATCTTGAATGTATTAAATAGATGCATATAAATTATTAGGAATAGGTCATTTATGCTGCCATTAGTAATAATGTTTTTAAAAAATAATTAAAATTTTTTAAAGTTGGAAAACAGAGTTTATTTAGGTAGGATAACAGGAAAATAATGAGAAAGCAAATTATGAAGGACTTTGTGTGCCATTTATTCATTCATTAACCATTTATTAGTGCTGGGATTGTCCCTTGTCCTCAAGAGAGTTCAATACTAGTGGAGAGAATGAAATGTAAACAAAAAAGTATAGTTACAGCTTTTATTATATAAATCTGTGGGGGCACCCAGGAGGGCTAGTGATAGATTTCATGCAAAGTAGGAGCAATGGTGCAGGCATTTCAGGGGCTAGGGTAGCACTTCAGAGTTTGTCAGTAAAGCTAAGGACCTATTGTTTTCTTGAAGCTCAAAGCAGTTGAGAGGCCCTGAAAGGTATAGAGAAGTCTGCAAACTTCTTCTGTAAAGGACCAAACAGTGTTTTCTGTTTTGTGGACCCTACCGGCTCTGCCATTTTAGTGCAAAAGCAGTCCGGTCATAGACCTTATTGAAACTAATGGAATGACCAGATTTGACTTGTGTTGCCCTAGTACAGTGATGGTGAACCTTTTGAGCTCGGCGTGTCAGCATTTTGAAAAACCCTAACTTAACTCTGGTGCCGTGTCACATATAGAAATTTTTTGATATTTGCAACCATAGTAAAACAAAGACTTATATTTTTGATATTTATTTTATATATTTAAATGCCATTTAACAAAGAAAAATCAACCAAAAAAAATGAGTTCATGTGTCACCTCTGACACGCGTGTCATAGGTTCACCATCACTGCCTTAGTACAAACCATTGAAAGATTTGAAAGGAATTTACGACATTGATTTGTGTGAATCAGTAAGAGCAGAATAAAAATAGAAAATAGATTATTTTTAAGCACTGTAAAGCAATAAGAAAATGCAATTCAGTTTTATAAATGGGCAAATTCACAGAAGAGGAAATAGCCAATAAACATGAAATATTGTTCTACACCATTAATAGGGAAATACAAAATTGTAGGGAAATTCATTCATTGACTAAATCAGTATAGCCTTTTCAATTTTAAAGTAAAAACATTTTGACCCTGCAATTTCCATTTCTTAGAAAAACAAGGATATATCAGGAGTCAGCTGTGTTCAATATGTCTTTGTCAGTAGCAACAGAACTTCCAGACTTCCAGGTTACCTTTCATCTCCTGCACTCCAGTTCATGAATGGGTCTATATTTGTCTGCATTTTTTGTTGTTGTTAACCCCTTCCCAACTCTTCATAATTCTTTTACTGGGATGTACAGTCCATCGTCTGCAAAATCCAGTCCCAACCTATGCTTAAACATTCCCTTCACTTTCTTGCTCTTATAGGAACCTGATGTTTTGCACTGTGCAGTTTGGCTGTTGTATTTATTTTTTCCATAGCTCTCCTTGTCAGTGTTCCTACAGATGGAAAAGGTGTCTGTCATGCTTCTCTGCTGCTTTCAGATTTTTTCCTCCCTTCTCCCTAAAAATCTTTTCCCCTAACAATCCTCAGTTTTGTGTTATGTCAGCAGATT